CTAATGCATCGGGTAACATGAATGCCAAACTGGCAGCGGACAACACAGGCAGAGAATCAATTATGGGTCGAGAAGCACTCGGTGAAGGGATGAATGAGAATGGAGAACTGTTAGCAGATTTCTGCGCATTCAACGATTTGGTGATTGGAGGTAGTGTATACAGACACAGTTATTCACAAAGCGACATGGATTCACCAGGATACACTAAAAATCAGATCGACTTTATCTCAATCTTAAGAAAGTGGAGACGCAGCCTACTGGACACAAGATCATATCAAGGGGGGCAAATGTAGGTCCAGACCGCTCACTATTTAGTGCAAAGAACATTCAGAATAAAGTTAAAGGTCTTTAAAGAAGCTGCTGGTTGACCACAGTTCAAGTTCAACACCCGCAACAGAAATTAAAAGACGAAACCAAAGGACATCTTCATGTCAGCCAGTCTTCAAGACAAAATGGGAGGTATTGAGCAACATCCCTGAAGAAACTTCCGTCGAAGAACACTGGAACTCCTTGAAAGCTGTAGGAGGAAACCTGCATAACCATGTTAGGAAGGAAGAATAAACAAGATACAGAATGAATCTCCAAGCGGAGGTGGAAGCTGATAGAAGAGGGAGATGAAGATAGTGATAGAGAAGCAGAAGATAAACCACTGCAAGGATGAACGACGAGAAGAGGAACTAAGTGCAGTGTATAAAACACTGGACAAAGAAGTGAAGAAGAGTGCAAAAGACACTTCTACGAAACACTGGCAAGTGAAGCAGAACAGGCTGGTGGTAGGAGAGACCTGACAACATTGTATCAAATAACCAGGTTACTATCTAGGAGGGAAGAGATTAACGCAGATGAGACCAATGAAAGTAAGTGAAGGAAACCTAGTTACCAAAGAGGAGAAACAAAGGAAACGATGGTCAACCAATTCAAAAAAAACTCTTGGACCGGCCACCACCTGTAGCTCATCCAGAAATATCACCAGCAGCCTAGCCACAGAATTACCAGTGAACACGAACCCTCCAACAACGGCAGAAGTGCAGTCCTGGACGTCATAAAAGTGCTGAAATCTGGGAAACTAGCAGGAGCAGATGGGATCCCGCCAGAAGCACTAAAAACAGACGCAGAGGCAACAGCAAACATGTTTACACCACACCACTATTGCAGAAAGTTTGAAAGGAAAGGTACGTGCCGAATGCAAGAATGGTTGCTCTGTCAAACTCCCTAAGAAGGGAGACCTAAGTCTTTGCAAATACAAGAGCTGGCGCGGAATCATACTCCTGTCCACCGCAAGCAAAATATTGAGCCGCATCATCCTGGAGAGGCGGGAAAATGCGCTGCATTCGAAATTACGACTGGAACTGGTTGGCTTCAGGAAGAACAAATCATGTGCGGATCAAAATGCAACGCTACACATCATCATAGAGCAGAGCATAGAATAGCAGTCCACTGGATCTTTGCATCAACCTCATCGATTTTGAAAACGCCTTCGACAGCGTCGACCGAGAAGTAATTTGGAGACTGCTTCAACACTTCGATTTTAATGCCACAAACCTTTAGCAATGTCATTCAACAGCTGTATGCTATATGATGATGATGCTAAGTGATTCACAGTGGAAAGTTCAGTGACGCCTTTGAAGTGAAGACGGGAGTAAGACACGGTTGATCTACAGGCGAAAACTAACAAGTTGAGAGGAGAGTTGAGGCAGGGAGAAGCAACTGATTTCAGGTGAACGTAGAGAAGACAGAGGTGGTGGAGGTACCCAACCAGCAACAACAAGCAGTAATCACCACTAACGGGAGAAACCTAAAGGAAGTAGTCTCTTTCACCTACCTGGTTAGGTAGCATCGTTTTAACTACAAGCGGCGGTACAGATGAGGATGTGAAAGTCGGAATCGGAAAGACAGGCCTTCATTAGCCTGAAATCAGTGTGGAGATCTACTGCACTCAGCAAAAAAGAACAAGATCCGGATTTCCAACACCAACGTCAAGGCAGTGCTTTGATGTTGAGAGACTTGGCGGCGCGTCACGAAAAGCATTTCCAACAAACTACAGACATTCATTAATAGCTGCCACCTACGATCACTCGATACTGAAGATTAGAGAGATGACCAGACTAATAAGAATAAACAACAGGTAACTCTGGCAACAAACCAACCAAGAACCCATCGCCCAACAAATATGCAGAAGAAAGTGAAATGGGTTGGTCTGGACATACACTGAGAAGAACTGTTTAGGGATATCACACAGCCAGGTCATGCCGTCGAGTACAACTCACAGGGGAAACGACGAGTTGGACATCCGAGGCCAGGGTGACATTTAGGAGATGATATGAGGAAGAAATGAAAGCTTGTGGGCAATGGTGGAGCCAGGTTGAGAAGACTGCAAAGAAGAGAGTGAAATGGCTATGTGCTACTGAAGCCCTATGTTTCACTAGGGATCCAAGGGACAAATTAATAACAATATTCATGCCCGTAAGCACTGAATTCGTGGTTTATTTCTGCTCACTTTTCTTTTAAGTATATCACAAAATAACTGATTTATTTTCTGGTGAGAATTCGATCAAGTATGCACAGCGTTAGTGAATTCAACATTAACGTTCATATTTGAACGAAATCACTTGCCATCAGCAGATTTTCTTTTCTTCGTTTTGGCTTCATAGATCAGTGGGAACGGAAGTTATTGTGAACATGCAAGGCTTAATAAAAGATTATGAAATGTAGCTATAATTTAGATGCGATCTAAAATGACGTAACCAAAAAGCATGATAGTCGTGAATTAGGTTGCTAAAATGGGAATAATGAAGTCGGTTTCTACTTCAATACCTATGAAATTCCAGGCTATTCAAGATTACAACCTAGGAGAGAATTGAGTTAGTTTTCTTGTAAGTCATCTTGTACTGTATACATTTGTTTGCCGGCTGACTCTGTCTAATTCAGAGAGTGAGCGCCTGGGGGTTCTTTCTTACAAGCCACCACCTCTATATGAGGAGTATTCCATCTAAGGTATGTCTTATTTGGCCTTCCAAAAAGTCTGCTATACAGTTATGCGTACTTTTATAAACAGCGAAAGGGTGTAGTCTGTCGGCATTTGAATGAAGTAATCATTATTTACTTCTGTACATCTGCTTGACAGCAGTATAAGCTGTAGCCAATTTCTGTTTTCAATTCTTCGTGGCTTAACGCAATGATATCATTGTCCTTAAATATGAGGCGTATAAATACCGGATTCCAATAAACAGTAATTTCCTGTGAGCCTTTCCTTACAGCTGTTTAGTTATCATAATAACACACATAAGCGAGTTTCTTTCTGTAGTTTATGATGATGATGATGATGCTGTCTAGGATGACAATGAAAGCTGTGCGATTAAAGGATCTAGCTCAGAGAATACAACATCGAAATTATCCTCCTGAGCTACTAATATTCTCCATCATCTCAAAACCCTGCGACCGTCAAACGCTTCTTATTGTTCAGAAGTAAGAGAAATTCTCCAAGAGGCAGGCATACATACAAGAGAATAACTATATTTTCCGCATAAGTGTCTACGTCACGATGTTCTGACAACTGGTGTCATATACAGACCATCTATTAGCTGTTCAATGGGCTGGAAAACCTCTTTCTGAAATTTATATTGACAATGTTGTCTAGAATGACAATGTTGCTTCACGATTAAAATATTCACCTCGGAGAACACAATACCATCAAGAACAATATTGTTTCTAATTAGATCTCCTCATGCTTAACTCTGATATACATTGCATTACATATAAGTAAATAAACCAATAAATATGATTTGTGACTTAGAGATAACAACGGCACGAATTATGAAATCTTAGAATAGTGTTCGCGTGTCGTAGAATCAGTGTAAGCAATGTTGAGGCCAAGCGAAAGGTACTAGGCAAGACAGGTAAGTCGATTGGTGAGGTTGTTAACCCCCGGTCAACTGAGATAGCTTGTACATGTACTGCGCATGCTGCGCCACCGCCTACATCAACGTGCGATGCTATGGATAGTTGGATTAGAATGGGAAAGAGTTTAGGGTGGCCAGACAAAGATATAGCATCAATCGATTAAGTCCCTGACTGTTAACTTGAGCCGCATGGGGAGATGTAGACTGTGACGGTCGGAATCAATGGTTGAGGACTGACTGGAAATCGGTGACATGTGATGTGAGCTAAAGTTAGTGCTGTGGATGATGTCGCTGTCTAGGAAGACGATGAAAGCACCACGACTAAACAACCCATCTCAGAGAAAACAGATGAGTCTAACTGCCTACTAAACTTCTGTATTCTCTAGATTTGCTGTAAAAATACCGATTCAGAACTTTACAGATTTCTCTCATTTCTCGATCTGGTCACAGGTAGATTTTTGTTTCACAGTAACACTTATCAATCAATCAGAATATCTTCGATGTCCAGCACACTAAATTAATTCCCTCTTCCAACTGTATGCTGCTAAAAATCGGTCTCCCAGTAACAGCTTACACTTACCCGATGCGAAACACATCCAGAGAACATTTAGATGCTTTATTCAAATCCTGTATCCTATAAATCCATTCACCTAACCGAAATATACTGTAAGTATACTACAGACCAGCATCCGATAGATAGACAGTAATTGGGGTCAACTCAAAGCAAAGTACATATCCCTAGCTAGCACCATTGATTCTTATAAACACAAATGACAATTATCCTCATCTTTTTTACATACTAGACTTTCTTTAAGTCTGTTTTTCCTAAGCATATGGAACAAGTCTCTGATGAAATAAGCAGGATTGACGCCCAACAACAGGCAGCCATTGTATATTGATGCAGATTAAGAATAAAACTACATCGAATAACGATGAAACCCATCTCAAGGCAGATTTTATTACCACGCTATGAAAGTCTTCACAATTCAACAATATAAGGTAGCAGAAATGATGATAACAATCGAATCGAATCCCATCATATATAATATATATATATATATATATATATATATATATATATATATATATATATATATATATATATAATGTTTATTTATATACAATTTTAATACCTCTACACAGGTTATTATGAAAAAAATAATTACATATAAATAATGAATCATTTCCATGCAACAAACTGTCTAACACTTCCATCTTCTCCGCCACTATACACATGCGGTTGACGTGGATGAAAGACAGTGGCGAATACATTCGACTGATTAGTCGGTTGTCCAGTACGAATCAGTTGAACAGGAATTACAATTGGCTTTGACAAGAGATCACTAGAATATTTAAAAAAAAAATGTAGTGTTTTATTTAAGACATAATCAATCATCTTGAAAAAGTTCATCTCAATTGATTCTACAATAGGATTATTATCCAATCGACATGGCAACAACCACCATATGCAGTTATGTACACGAAGCAGTGGGTCAAATATTCATTGTGATTGCCAAAACCATTGGTAGGTGGACCAGGTTTCGAGACCTTGACTGTCTAGAATAATGAATCATAACGGCAGCTGTATTTGAATAGGAGAGTGTCAAGGTTGTTTCAACATTCCGACACTTATACTCATGTGGTTGCATTAATTTTCTTTTCTCTTCTCCAATCCACAATGATTTTCTCGTCTTGGTCAATAGTGTTCGTTAGTAGTTTTCTGAGGCAGAAGATCTCTTAGGTCGACTGATACTTGCTATTCAGACTAATCACTAACCAGAAAGTGTATACAACTAAACTTAGCCTACTAACCAATGAGAAATATGACAAACTACAAGGTCACACAGAAGCTACCAATAAGAATACGTGTGTAATCAACAACCGAACATGTGAAGTAAATCAACTGATCACAACCAGTTAAGAAATTAATCATAGAGAAATCTAGACAGCTCATTACTTCATACTGAAGTTACTTCGACTGATATCGTCCAAAAAACAAGGGTAATGAAAACTTCACAATTAAATTATCCACCTTACAGCAACAACAAAAAACCCACAATAAATCAAGAATTTTATTTGCACTAATTAAGGAATTATATTAGTTTCACTTACTCGATTACCTTCCCATAAATGATAAGAAGTGTACCATCACTCAGTGCAACAGAAACCAATGGACGACGAAGATGAACTGATAACTGTCGAATAGAACCATGATTAAGCCTAGAAAGTTAGTTAACATAGAGTAATATTCTCTGATTAGTATACATAAGTGTTCAATATAAATAAAATAGAGCAAAATAATATTGAAATTCTAATGAAATTGACATAGATATAAGTTGAATTATTAATGTAATTGCTTTACGTTTTTTTATTATTTGTCCCTTTTCACTCTCTTCTTTGCAATCTTCTCAACCTAGCTCCACCATTGCCTACAAGCTTTCATTTCTTCCTCACATCATCTCCTAAATGTCACCCTGGCCTGGAATGTCCAACTCGTCGTTTCCCCTGTGAGTTCTGCTTGACGGCATGACCTGGCTGTGTGATATCCCTAAACAGTCTTCTCAGTGTATGTATTTGTTGGGCGATGGGTTATTGTTTGGTTCGTTGCAGCCAGAACTCCTTGTTGCTTACTGTTTTAGGTCATCTGATTTTCAGTATCGAGCTTTATCATACAGATTGAAAATGGTCAAACTAATATGTAACCAAATAACTCACAAGGTTTTCATGTAGGGAATCAAGAGACAGTTATAATTGGTGATTCAAGCCTATGTGAAGCGACACAAAACCCAGGGCACAGAGTGCAATTAATACAAAAGCTTGTTCAATCGATGTTAATTTCGGTTTTTTAGACCTTCTCATGTCGAGCAAACATCATCGACTATATAGACGACACTTAATTAAGTGTATATAAATGAAAACGGTGTATACAATAGGTCATGCGCTCTAATTAACGGAGAAGACCTCAATTTTTCAGGTATCTACGCGTATCTCCTTAGCTGAGACAGCCTGGGTTATCCTGCTAAAGTCAGATGTATCTCTCACTCATAGCTCAACTAGTATCAGCCGTCTTCTCACCATTAGGGTTGGACGGTAGTACGTAGGCATTTCAGCTATTGTTGCCCACGTGGTTAGTAGACAATTAACCAGGTCCAGGGGGTCACTCGGGAACTGCCTCTGATTATCCACAGAGGTGATAAAAGCTTCATCGCTTTGAGTGTTCAGCAGTGGAGGCTGATGTAGTCACCAGGATGATCAAATGCTAACCATTAGGATTAAGCAACTATATCCGTTACTCATTTGTGATCAATACATGAGCAGCATATTAGGGAGTCATAAAGACTGGAAACTTCATATGGGTAAATATAGTTCACTGAACTAAAAAAATAAACATAGAAATCAAACCAGTGTAGGTTTATATCTACTACGCTAAAACCAACGTCATTGTATTATTCTATCTGGTTATTCAGACAGAATTATGTACAGCGGCGTTTAAATCCCTTGATAGAAAGCTACATATTAAAGTCTATAAACAACTCATAGTTTGATCAACAATAATGGAGAAGTAGTCAAACAACCAACTACCATTCCTGGATGTTTTAGTCAGTAGGACAAATGCCTGAAAGCTGGAAACCCAAGTGTACAGGAAGGCAACACACACTGACCAAATCCTCAACTACAGTAGCAACAACACAAAATCAGTTGTGTGTAGACTCTATTCAAAAGAGGGAGAACACACTGCAGTACAACAACTTCACGATGAAACGAAGAAAATTACTTGATGTCCACCGTGAAGAAGAACGACTACCCACGGAACTTTATCAAAAGATACGTAACCCGTAAATCATCAACTACAAAATCATCGACAGAGATAAACAAACGCATCATCATACCATAATGCATAAAGAATATGTGTCAGAAATCACGACAAGATTGCTGAGACTAATTGGTGGAATTGGTGTGGCTCTTAAACCAACAAATTCTCTCTAAACCACCTTATCCAGACCAAAGGATGCAGCAAGCAAAGAAGACAAACCGAATATCATTTACAAAATCAATTGGAATAACTGTGGAAAAAGTGGTCGGCCTCTTCGCCTTCGTTTACATGGACACTAATTGACTATCGAACGTCACACACGACATTTCAATGCACGTGGATAACAACTACGGACATGAATTGAATTTCGACAATGTAGAAATCTTGGAGGGAGAGAGGAAACACAAAGAATATCAGAGAATTCCTAGAAGCTTGACATTCAGCTCAGTCAGTCAGCAATCAACAGATGTGTAGACACAGACCCGATCTACCAGCCAATAAGAAAAATGATAAACGACAGAAAGGTTAGAGGTGAAGCAGATGAACAGCCGACAGGAACGTCTATACAGTCAATGACAACGAACAAAGGAAACAACCAATCACAGACCACATCGTCAGAGCAAGCCACTAAATCACTGATGGAGAGATATTGACAGCTCACTTCATACTGAAGTTAGTGCTGTGGATGATGTGGTCTAGCAAGGCGATGAAATCTTCACGATTAAACAACCTAGCTCAGAGAACACAATACAACCAACGACATCACCAGTTTACATCCATTTCCAGGTATCATCGATGTTCATAACTGATATCCTTTTCAACCTGCTATCATGTCTATATCGACGTCAAATTATGGTAAGTCACATCAATATGCAGTTAAATGTATGCATTTTGATAATATTTATGTTTATCTGGTCACAACCACGCCAGTTGTTATAAACCACCTTTTCTGCTCACAACTTTAATCAGAACACTTTTCTGTTATTGTACTCATTGTATATAAGTAGTATGGTAGCAGAAGTTCTGTTTAAGTTATTCTTCATCGCCTGTAAAAGATCTTGTTGACAAAATGTATCCTTCATACACTACTTTTTGTTCGCTCAGTGAACTCAATATATCAATTTTAACACAGGATATAGAATATCGCTAGTCATCAGTAGTCATGAGATCACTTCAAACAACTGATATACAACCTCAGTACAGTTTAGTTTTTATTGTTGCGATATAGATACGACAATATATTAACGATTCTCATACTCTTCGGTATATCAGTCGCTGTATTACTCGTTTATGCTACTTTCTTTTTTCTCAGATAGAATAATTTTCGAAGAGACATGCCTGACCAACACTAGTAATTGTTCAGTTTACATAAGTGTAAACCCTTAAAACTTATTTACCTAGTCCTTAAAAAAAAAGATTTTTCAAGGTATATTGACCCTCAAAATGGAAACCGAATAAGGAGAACTTTAGAGGCCATAACTTTACTGACTGAAAATATCAAACATATGTCAACTATTGGATTAAAGAGTTTTACTAAAAATATGCATTTATACAAACAAGAACATCAGCGCTGTGTTGAAGTGGAGTGGAATCCCACGTTAGATTAGTTTTTTTTCCGATAAAGTACACATATTATAATGCTGTATCGAATACTGATTGTTAGTGAAACCAAGTCTAGAAGGAGATAGAATTTGAACAAATAACCCAACAATAAGACTGTCGTCAACCTTGAATATCTTGGGATTAGTGGAGAGAAAAAATTATTTCGAAAATTTACAAATCAATATACACTTCTCAGATAATATCATGCGTTTAGATCCCATGATATAATGATATATAAGGTTAACGAGGCTCACAGTGACATCATCATCCTCATTATCAACATAGGACCAGGCATTATTGCGTAACACTCCGAGTTACCACACCTCATATCAGTTCATCAAGTAGAAAGGTAGTGAGGTGAAGGATGAAGACAAGAGAATGCAGTCAAAAGAAATATAAAGTACGAGAAGAAAGGAAAGAGGAGTAACAAAATGGTGAGATTCGGTATAGTGTCGTTTAGATGAGGATAATATCTGTATACATCTGCGCCACTGACATCGCTTCTCAGCCATATCACCTACAACCAGTCTCCAACCACTGGTTCCTCTTGTCCCGCCGACTCCAACCACCTAGTCTGCATCGTCCTACATGGCTTAAACTAACAGTCAGAGACTTCATACATTGGTGCCATGTTTTAATCCGGCCATCTCGGGCCTTCTTCCAGCCTGGGTCTACTTCGGCCAGCATCGTGTGACGAGGCAATCGGTGATTGGCATACGTAGTACGTGTCCCAACCATCTCAATCGATGAAGGTTCATAACCTCGTCAACTGATTTACCTCTACTCCCTAAAACTCTACACTTGAGTTCTGCATTACTCACATGGTGACAGCACCTAATACGTCCTATACTACGAAGGCAACGGTCGTCAAACACCTGAAGCCTTTTTATATCTTCCACTTTCACTGGCCATGTTTCACAGCCATACAGTAGAACAGAGCGGACTGCTGTGCAGTACATGCGACCCTTAGTAGACAATCGGATATCACGGTGGCGCCACAGGTGACGTAAGTTGGCGAGAGCCAGTCGAGCTTTTTGTATCCGTGCAGAGATTTCACCGGCCACTGAGCCACCAGTGCAGGGCTGATCCTACTTCCCAGGTAAGTGAAGTGGTCGACACACTCAACCACTTCACTCTCTATTGTTAGCCGCGGTACCGCTGAAGACCAGTCCTGGAGCAAAAATTTGCATTTGGGTGGTGAAAATCGCATCTCAAACATTCTCAAATTCCCACTCAAAGTGTTCAGAAGACTCTGCATCTTGTCAGCGTCTTCACCTAACAGGACTGGCTATGTCATCTGCATATTCTAGATCTAAAGAAAATTCACCTGTGATTGGGACACAGTGACATTAAATTTACAATGCGATATGAGGATGACGAGTTCAGCTTTTTGGATCTAGATGCCAGAAAAAGAATTGATGGTAAAATTTAAAAGATCACTCATGAAATAGAAAAAGGTCCGGATTGTTACTACTATGTTAGCTATAACCGTGAACTAGTCAAAACACTTTTCAATAGAGGTAGAAAATTATGTTCTGCGAACAAGTTAGAGGAAGAACTAAAGTTTATCTACAAGTGCCTGCAAGAGAATGGATATCCTAAGAGATGAATCATGAAGTATGGGAAAGAAAAGATTGAGAGAAATAAATACTGGATTGTGCAAAAGAAGAAGTTTTTTTAAAACATCTTGCATTCAAGGGAGATTCAGTATCTAAGCGAATAGACACAAGAAACAAATTAGCACTTAGAAGGAGCTTCCCTGAACCCAGTTACAATTGGATAATTAGCCTGCTCATATCACTCA